TATCAGGGCCAGATCTGGGGAGTCCTTCACTTGGTTGATGGCAAAAAATGTAATATTGTTTTTCTTCCTCTTTGTATTTTTTATCAATATGGTAAAACATTATCCTATTCAAATCAATCAAGTTAATTATGAGGTGAAAATGAGGAAAAATCTAAAAGTAATCAGATTATAAAACCCTAAGTGTGTAATGTACTACGTTACTACAATTTGTATCGTAAAATTACATTATTACCATTTTGTATTATTGATACAAAAAATTTACTGTTGATTAAAATGCTAAATTTGGTATTGGTAAATGCTTGGACTTGGTGCTGAAACCCAAAGCACCACAAGGACAATAAAGACACCAGAATAACAATATTCATGATTCTGAAGCTGAAATACAGGATTATTTTAGACGGATATGCTTGATCTCTGTCAATGACTAGATATATATAAAATAATGTCGGCCACTTTTTACTGGTAACATCAGACATCTGGCATTTTCAGGCACACAAATATCCCCCATTGCATTATTATACATTATTTTTCACGCAAATGATCCTTTGGGTAAACGATCCACGATACAGATCAAATTTTTGTATTGCGATACATTGTGACACAATATATTGTTACACCCATATGGGAGACTATCAAAATCACAGCCAATCAGAAAAGGAATATTGAATATTACACCATTTAAATGTGATTAAAAACACAAATTGAGTGAGTTACTGAAACAATTGTTGTCATATAGCCTAGAATAGACTTGTCTGTTAACAATTTGAACGTTCTTGTTCACTTTTATTTTGAAGATCTGAGGTGAAAAAACACACAAAATCATATTCAAACTAACACTACGCTTTCAATATTAAATAAAGCACATAAACCGTGCCTGAGATAAACATACTTTATGTTGTTGGTCCAGCTCGACGTCACAGAGACCGCTTCTGAGACCGAATCGTCGCGTGTCGCCGTCGCGGCTGGATAGGACACGCTGTAACTCGACATTTAACTTTAAGCTTTATTCACTCAGCACTTCTTACACTACAGAGCAGCTTTACACAGATAACAGGGAAATATTAATAATGCAACAAAGTTTGTTTCTGCTCTACAACGGATCTAGAAGAAAATTGCATCATAGTCCAGCTCAAGTAAGTTCAGTTTTTGTTGTAAAAAAGTTATTAATTTAGTAAATTTATATATAAATGTAATTTATATATTATAATTATAATTTATATATTAAAGGAGTAGTTCACTTTTAAATAAACTTTTGCTGATAATTTACTCACCCCCATGTCATCCAAGATGTCCATGTCTTTCTTTCTTCAGTCGAAAAGAAATGAAGGTTTTTGATGAAAACATCACTCATTTAATAAATAAATAACAAAGTTTAAGTTTTAAGCTCAAATGGTCGTCTTGCTCTGTTCTGTGATGCGCGTTCATGACTCTCCTGTTCGAACTCGTTCATCAAAATGAACAAATCTTTTTCCAAGTGAATTCGTTCATTTCGTTCGTTGAATTAACCAAATGACTCGAAAAAAGATTTGTTCATTTTGATGAACGAGTTCGAACAGGAGAGTCACTTTATTTTTGTTATTTTTTTATTAAATGAGCGATTGTTTCGCTTGATGAGACCCTTATTCATCGTCTGGAATCGTTTAAAGCCCTTTGAACAGTTTGCACTGAAACTGTCATTTGGACCTTGAACCATTTGGTTCCCATTGAAGTCCATTATATGGAGAAAATCCTGGAATGTTTTCATCAAAAACCTTAATTTCTTTTCGACTGAAGAAAGAAAGACATGGACATTTTGGATGACATGGGGGTGAGTAAATTATCAGAAAAAGTTTTTTAAAATAAGTAAGTTCCGTTTTTGTTGTAAAAAAAAAAACGTATTATTGTAGTTAATTTATATCTATAGCCGCTCTGGAGATCGTCCAGCTCAGTTCTCATATAATGCTGTCAATGCAGCAGATCAATATTATTGTTGAATATTAAATGTCCCCAACTAAGCAAGAACTCAAGGCAAAAGCTCAACAAAGCTGATTATGAATTGTTGCATCAATCAATGAAATAGTCGTGTAATTGTTCAAGTAATAGGAGTAGTCAATTACCAAAATAACCACTGTTGCAGTCAGTCCTTCTCTTCAATTACTGTTCTCTTGCTGTTCATTCTCCAGATTTACACACAGTGAGGCAGTGGATTCGTGTGTTATGGTTGGACAGCTGCATTGATTATAACAGAGAGAAGTGCAGTGATCTCCAAACCCCCTTTGACCTCTGCCAGGACAGCGCTTTACGACACACACAGGCCCGTCTGCAGCTTCAGGCCCGGGGAGAACACACAACAGGCAATGCAAACCCAGGATCAATATCTGATGACCACCGATACTCTTCTTCTCATGGCTTATAATCCCGCATCAGAATCTATATCGCCATCTCACCGCGTGCGAAATGAGAGACAACACCCATAATGCACTGAAAGGGTTAGCCATCATTTAATCGTTACAAACCTGTACGACTTTTCACTTTCTACAAAGCACAAAAAAGATCCTGTGATGCGTTGTTCTTGTTCAAACCGGTAATTTACTGGTAATGTTACAACATCTCATGCCATAGATCTGATTTACGAGTATTTTTGGAAAGGGCCCGTTCACACATGATCTGTAAATGGTATTAAACAGTAATTAAATACAGTACAGTAAACACTGTCGTATGAAAGGGGCTAATGTATCACTGAGAAACATATTCATCAAGAATTACATGAACTTGAAATGCGATAACAGGGTTGACAAGACGGTGATGTACAGCGATCACGGACGACAAACCCAGACGACCTCAGAGCGTTTCTGTGCTTTCATTAATCACAGCCTGTAATTACATGATTGAGTCAACAGCCCCTGTGCGACCATTATCAGCCAGACATAAAGATTCTCCCACAGGCCACAGACCTGAGACTCACTCAACAATACCAGCACAGGGATCCTTCACATGACCAGAGCTCTGCTTCACTCCTGAGTTCAACAGAAGGCTTCATACCGCCTCTATTCTCCAATAACTCACTAATCAAGATCCCTCCCCAATGATCATTCCTCTAGGAGTGCGTTTGTGCATCTAGCATACCAAACCACACTGCGTTTCCTCGTATTCTCAAATCACATTCATTTCGTTATAGACCAATATTTCTGCCCGGCCAATTAAAAAGATTTAAGAGCTGAGACCAAAGTGGAATATTTTCATTAACTTTGGTGGGGAAAATGGATGGCTTCTGAAGACTGGGAATAGAGCACAGTTTTATGGTGATTATGTGGTCCTTTTGGAGGATGACAGTACGAATGAAAAGTCATTTTATGTAAAAGAGTTGCGTAAAGAATTATTCTTTTGTGTTTTGCATAAAAAACAATCGCTGTATTCAAAATGTATAGTAGATAGGCTTTTTGTTTAAAACTTTAAAAAGTGTGTTCTAGTATGGATGTGTGTACTAGGAATGAAATATGGACGATGTAGCCTAGTTTACCCCGACCGTGCTTTTGCCTACTCTTTTATGAATACAATACAACTTGTTATACTGCTCACGGTACATACTACACACTATTGTTATCCAGTTGTGCGCAGTTGTGTCGTGTAGCCCCACTCACAGCTAAATCTCATTGAACTGAATTCACGCTAACATACAAATCGCTAAAAACAAAGTCAAGTAAATTGTCATTTTCCAGTAAAACGTGTTCACTACCCTTGAGTCAGGTTGTTATTAGAGCCCGACCGATAAAGGATTTCGAAGTCCGATATCGATACAAATATTTATTGGTTTTAAAATCCGATATTCCGATATATCGGCCAATATTTTTTTAAATTATTATTTCAGAAACACGCAACAAATTTTAAAACATACATTTACAATATAACAGGCCAAGGAGAGATGATGCGTCTCATTGTTATAACTGTCACGCTCTATTAAAGAAATACTTCAGTCACATTGTCAAAAGTTAAAAGGACAACTACACTGTAACAACGTAACGTAACTTTTACTAGTTCTGAAGCAGCTAATTCTGGTTCACTCTCGGCTTATTTAACAGTAGCAAAACTGGACATGATAGTCACAAATGTTGTCATGCTTATTTGAGTTAAGAGAACTGATGCGGATGTTCTTTTAATTGTTATTCAAGCAATGTATGTATCGTGACCAACTCAACGAGTGTTGCCAACAGGAACGGTGTAGAGCGCCCTCTGGTGGACAAACTATACAACTCCAACACTCATGACATGGTTCAAGCGTGTTTCCTCTGTTTTTTATTTTATTTTTGAAATATTCATTTATCGGCCATTATAACTGCCGATACCGATAGTTTGGAAAATGCCTGATATCGGCCGATATCGGTCTACCGATATATCGGTCTGGCTCTAGTTGTAATCCACTAAAAGTGTCAGTGGATAATAAACAATGCATGTTATCTTTTTTTTTAAATGAAGAACACTCAGTATATTGTGCAAAATAACTGTATTTTATTCCATTATTTTATATCCTTTTGCTGTCATTAAACTGTATGTAGCATAACTATTCATCCTGAAAACCCTCATTAAGTAAACTGTAAAGTAGGCCTACCAAGCTTAGGCTATTACACATTAATTACAATGTAGTAAACAGTGTTCAAATTGGTGCCGGGGACGTTGAAGCATGAGGTGGGACAGATGATGGGATAACATGTGATGTGATGTGATGAGGATCATCAGTGTGCTGAATGCTTAACATAGGACAGGGAGGCATCATAAACACCTGAACGTCCCTGGACATTATGTACAGCTATAAAGCAGATACAGCTCTATTAATGGCTTTAAATGAACACTAGATATGACTAATCAAACCTTCAGAAGGCAAGCGAGCATATTCAGCCAATCCGGCTTATTAAAGCATTAAAAGCTTGTGTAAGCGTCCGCTAAAACACAAGGACGCAAACGAGCACAGATGCATTGTAATCATGAATATTCATGCAGACTGATATGTTGTATCATTGACTTACATTCTCGGCGTCGCGCTCGTTGACGGTGGGCAATGGCGTTCTGGTCGACATCTTGTGTTTACAGGCCGCGCGCTCCGCACCGGCGCTCGGACCCGCGCTTAGCGAAGATAACGCGGAAGATACTGATATCTGAGACCGCTTCACACCGGCATGTCTCCTGGCCTTCAACCTACGACTATAACATGCACATATCCAGCAGGAGCGGCCCGCGTCAGCGCGTCAGCCGCGGGCGAGAGAGAGAGACAGAGCGAGCGCGACGCTGCGGATGCGCGGACAGGACGAGTGTGTGTGTGCGCGCGCGCGGCGGGTGTGTGTGTGTGGAGCTCAGGCTCCTGCATTGATCCACCCTGATAGAAACACACACACGGAGGGGGAGGACAATGATAGCGCTCAGTGCTTCTGTCTTAAAATGATCAATGCAGCTAAGTGTTAAACACGTAGGCTTATTTACTATAAATAATTCGTTAAATAATATCAGATCTTGCAGATGCTTTGTCATGGCAAGCCCAATATTGCCATATTATTTGAGACTATAGTGTGTGGAAAAGGGCATGAACCTACATACACTGTTGAAATGTTCTCTCTTAAAATAAGAAGCGCACTATAGCCTAACATGCTTGTCCACATTTGATCTACATCGCCACCTAACGGCTTTAAAACAGAACTGCAAACAAGTATAATGCTCGATATAGCACAAAAATGTGAGAATAACTAAGTCTAAATTTCTTAATCACGTTTCATTTAAATTGTAGGTATGTTGGAAACACATTAACTAGATTCTGAAAAAAACATCCTCCACACCGCCAGGGGGAGACGTCATGTGAGTTTTAGAAGTGTGCAACAATTTTAGTAGAAAAAAAGATGCTGATTGAGGAATAGCACACTTAAAGTAATAGTTCACACACACAAAAAAAAAGGAAATTTTGTCATCATTTACTCGCCCTCAAGTTGTTCCAAATCAGAATGAGTATCAATCTTCTGTTGAATACAAAAAAGATAGTCGACGGTAGCCGAACAGGAAAAATACTTCCATCAATTGTCTGGTTACTGACATTCTTCTAAATATCTTCGTTTGTGTTCAGCAGGAGAAAGAAACTCATACATAGTTGGGCCCTTAAGCACATAAATAGGTGATGTTGTGCAAATTCATCTAAAAGCGCCAAATTTGGCACAGATGTAGAACAGGTCACACTGAAATGATTTAGCTAGGGCGCCTGAGACCCTCAGGGCCAAGATGGTGGCCAAATCCAATATGGCCGCTGCCCGAAAAGGGTTCCAGCTATAACTTTTGAACCACATGAGTTACAAATACAAACTGGATATGTTTTGATCATGGGAAACACACAAGAATGTTTATATTTATGACCCAGTATATCTGGACCCCTTGATCCTCCAATTCCAATATGGCCGCTGTCAAGTCACATTTATTTATATAGCGCTTTTCACAATACAGATTGTATCAAAGCAGCTTCACAGTGATAACATGTAAGTAGCACAACACAGATCAACAACATTGCTAAACACTAAATAAATAACCCCAACTGAGCAAGCTCAAAGCAAGCCAAAAGCAAGGCGACAGTGGCAAGTGTGGTAGATCGGGAGAGTTATTAGAATTGTCCACTAGGTGGCAGTGGTAGATCAGTCAGGGGTAGTGGGGTATATAGCCGAGGAAGAATCTGCAGGCTTGTGTGTTGTACTGGCTGACAATGTTTGCACTGATGACTGGTGTTCAGTAAACTCCCAGCTAAAGCTACCTCGATGTCTGTTGTTTATTTATTAGTACTGAGGATACTACATTTGGCGACGAGGATGGCGGCTGAGCTCGGAAGAAGCTTGTGAGTAAATCACGCGGATATTGGACGGAAGTCGAGTGACGAGGCAGCTAACGCTAACAAAAAAAACAACAACAAAAAAAAAACGTCGAGATGGCTACGGCGATGGTAGGAACACTTACTGCTTTTGACAGTCAGACCCAAACATGGGAGGAATACGTCGAGGTATTGGGACATTTTTTCGTGGCAAATGAGATTGAGGATGAGGAGAAAAAGAGGGCAATATTGTTAAGCTCTGTTGGCAGTCGGACATACAGTTTAATGAGGAACTTATTGAGTCCAAACAAGCCTGGCGAAAAATCATATGAAGATTTGACGGACTTGCTGCAGTCGCATTATAACCCAAAGCCCAGTGAAATTGTCCAAAGATTTAAGTTTAATTCTCGGACTAGAGCAGTGAATGAAACTGTGATGGAGTACGTGGCAGTGCTACGAGAGCTTGCGCAACATTGCAACTATGGCGATAAGTTAAAAGAGATGCTACGTGACAGGCTCGTGTGTGGCATAGCGGACGATCGCATGCAGAGGAGATTGTTGGCGGAGCCTGAACTCACATTTGAAAAAGCTTTGAAAGTGGCACTGGCCATTGAGACAGCAAATAGAGATGTCCGTGATTTGCAATTGAAAACTGTGGAGGGCATCGGGAGTAATGTCAGTAATCAACTGTTAGTGCATAATGTGGAGTCAAACCATAAATGGCAAGGAAAGGCAAAACCATTGACATGTTACCGGTGTGGGGGTGAACATATGGCAAGTGTCTGTCGTTTTGTCAATGAAAAGTGCCATGGCTGTGGAAAAAAGGGACATTTGAAGAGAGTGTGCAAATCCTCGCCTCTGGGGGACCAGACGCTTAAGGAAGAGGGAAGAGGGAAGCACAAGCAGTCTGGAAGGTTTAGAAATGTTAAAAATCAGTCAGCGCATCATATAAGTGAATCTGGGGAGAATGTCACGAGTGACGAAGATGTTTTTACAATGTACAATCTAACAGAGCCAAAGTTAACAAAAATTGATCCCATTACTGCACAGCTTAAAATAAATGAGAACATTGTGGAATTTGAAGTGGATACTGGCTGTAGCGTGACAATTTTGGCAAAGGCTGAATATGACAAGTTAGGGACACGGGGCACCCAAGAGTTGCATGACTGCTCCATGACGTTGAAAACCTACACGGGCGAAAAAGTACCAACATTAGGAGTGGCAAGCGTGACTGTGAGGTACCAAGACCACGTCAAACAGCTACCAGTAGTGGTGGTAACAGGGCCAGGTCCAAACCTGTTAGGCAGGGCATGGATAAAGGAGCTGGGAATTAACCTTGTGAGTATAAATAAGATGGAGCAGCAAGAGTTGACATTGCAGTATGTGCTACGGCAAAATGAAGATGTGTTCAAGGAGGAGCTTGGTTCCTGGAGAGGTCCACCAGCAAAAATATACATCACAGAAGGGGTGAGTCCAAAGTTCTATAAACCCCGGGCTGTTCCCTATGCCATGAGAAAAAAAGTGGAGATGGAGTTAGAGAGACTCACAAAACAGGGGGTTATTGAGCCAGTGAAGTTCTCAGAGTGGGCAGCTCCGATCGTGCCTGTGTTAAAAGCTGATAATTCTGTGCGCATTTGTGGCGATTATAAGCTCACTGTCAACCAGGTATCGAAGCTTGAGCAGTATCCCATACCGAAATTGGAGGACTTGTTTGAGAAGTTGTCAGGCGGAAAGAGGTTCAGTAAACTGGATCTGAGCCATGCATATCAGCAAGTGATCCTTGATGAGACATCTAAGCCATATGTCACTATTAATACGCACAAAGGCCTGTTTCAGGTGAATCGTCTTCCATTTGGTGTTTCTTCCAGTCCAGCCATCTTTCAACGAATGATGGAGAGTCTGGTGGCCGGCATCCCGAATGTGGCCGTCTATCTGGACGACATTTTGCTGACAGGCCAGGGTGACCAGGGTCACCTTGCAACGCTGAATCAGGTGTTAACCCGACTGCGGGAAGCTGGTCTTCGCTTGAAGCGCAACAAATGTGTGTTCATGGAACAGGAAGCGGAGTTTCTTGGTCATAAAGTAGATGCATCTGGCCTTCACCCTTTGCCACATAAGGTCAGGGCCATACAAGAAGCCCCGGCACCGACTAATGTCACAGAACTGAGAGCGTACCTAGGACTGCTTAACTATTACAATAGATTCCTCCCACACCTGTCAACATTGTTGTCGCCTTTACATGGACTATTACGGAAAGAAACCACTTGGAAATGGAAGGCCGAACAGGAGCAGGCTTTTGAGGAGTCCAAGCGACTCATGCTGTCGTCTGATGTGTTGGTACATTATGACAGCCAAAAAGATCTGATCCTGGCCTGCGACGCTTCTCCTTATGGGGTGGGAGTGGTGCTGTCGCATCGCATGCCAAATGGGCAGGAACGACCAATCAGTTTTATGTCTAGGACATTAACGTCAGCTGAATTAAACTACTCCCAACTGGACAAAGAAGGTCTGGCGGTGATGTTTGGCATTCAGCGGTTCCACAAATATTTATATGGAAGAAGATTTGTCATTTGCACGGACCACAAACCACTACTGGCTCTTTTTAATGAGATGAAGGCTGTGCCTCAAATGGCTTCGCCGCGGATACAACGTTGGGCAGTTGCCTTGAGAGCGTATGAGTACGAGATGGTTTACAAGCCCGGCAAACATCATGGCAATGCCGATGCGTTGAGTCGACTTCCGCTATATCAGCCTTCTGTCAAGAAAGAGCAGGAGGAGCGAGTGCTGATGTTGGAGAATGTGACCCTTGTGTCAGCTGCAGAAATGAGTAGATGGACAAGCAAAGATCCTGTGTTGTCCAGAGTGGCACAATTCGTCCAACATGGCTGGCCGCCACTAGAAGGGGACCCAGTGTTCCAACCCTATGCTGTAAGGAAAACAGAGTTAAGTGTGCAAGATGGCTGTGTACTGTGGGGCTCAAGGGCAGTGGTACCGCCGCCAGGCCGGAACGCCTTGATACAGCAGCTACATCATGGGCACATTGGCATCACTCGAATGAAGGCATTAGCCCGAAGCTACTTCTGGTGGCCAAAGTTAGATGCCGACATTGAAGCAGTTGTTAAAAGATGTGTAGCGTGCCAAGAACATCGTAACTCTCCAGCTCCAGCACCTCTTCATCCCTGGGAGTGGCCGAGCAAACCCTGGCAAAGGTTACATATTGATTATGCAGGACCTTTTATGGGACATATGTTTTTTCTTCTGATGGACGCGCATTCCAAGTGGATGGATGTATACCCTGTAACGACCTCAACTTCAGCCAGCACAATTGAATGTCTAAGGAAGAGCTTTAGTAATCAAGGATTACCAGAGACAATTGTGTCTGATAATGGCTCATGTTTTGTGAGTACAGAATTCCGAGAGTTTATGCAGAAGAATGGGATTGAACACGTCACCTCTGCTCCTTATCATGCTTCCTCTAATGGTTGTGCTGAAC